TCCATTGAAGATCAAAGTACTTAGCTGAAGATCTCAATTTTTTCACTAGAGGTCATCAGCGCTTGGGTGAAGATGAGAATTTTTTGCCTAAAATCCATAGGTATTTGATGATAGGATTATTAGTCATAAAGAAACATCAGATTTTTTTTATTTTTGATAATATTTATTAGCCTAAAAATTCAAACAATCTTTACAAAATATTGGCCCACTGACTAAAAAATCATTATATTATTACAATTTAAATAAATAAAACTGCTAAATTGGAAACATAATTATTAGGTATACCTACTACTTGTAAAATTTACATTATATTATATATACCTTCAAACTTTTCCAACAAGTGGGAGTAGTGGGACAACTTGTTTGCCTCCAAAAATTCTTGTATTGGGGCCATCACAAGTATTTTCCAAACAGGATTGCAAGATAATTTTGGTCCCCTGACGTTGACGCAGTGATATCATCCTGGGCAACACCCATAGGAAACGGGATATAACTGTTCAAATTGAAAAGTAGTCACACGTCCGAGTAGGTCGTAGGCAGCACGTTACACTATACTGCTAGGCACTACACAACTGGGTTGGAGGGCATCGGAAGAAACTTGAATTTTGAATAAGATTTTGGAATATTCTATCAAAAAACAAGATTATTGGCCCAAATGACAAGGAGCTTAACAATTAGGCAATAAAAGATTATTCTTGGTATAAGAGAATATAATTTCGCCTGAAAGAAATGTCATTCCAGAGTAATTTTAAAAAATATCAAGAACCACGAAATTCTCAACACAAGGTAATTTTTCTTCATGCAATAGATTAACTCTTCATATAAGATAATTTATTTCAAGATCACTGAATACCTTGAGGTAAGGGGAGCTGTTTTTTCAGTGCCCTTGCTTCTCATACGGAAACTGTCGGATTGAAAACGACGGACAATAACTTTTGCCACTGAAACTTTAGGTCGACAAAGAGTACTTTTAGAACATACATACACTCCAAGGTCGGTATTGGAGAAATAATAATGGGAAAATATATCCACTGGAACTGCATGAACTTTCGTTTTTGTCCTGCAATAAGGAGGCCGAGGCATCAAACCTTCACATATTCCAAAACCATAAGCTTCCTGCCTAGTTTTGAGTGGAATACGTTCACTTATCTGGATTCTAGACATGGTGTAGTAAATATGTAGTAAAATGTAAAATGTACTACGTCACCGAAACCGACTAACGATTCACGTCCATTTGACAATCCATTAATATTCTGTCATTTTTGACGTGTTTTTGTTTATAAGCAACGTTTTATTGATTTTTTCTGTTTGTTTTTTCTCTGAATAGCGGTTTTAAATTGATGTAAAGTATTTATTTCCTATAAAATTCGTATTTTTGAATGGATAGTCCTTATCTTTGAGAAGTTGATAGTGCAAAAATTTCAAAAGTTTGGAAGTTGGCAAGAAATATGCCAAAATCTATCGGTTCAGTAAAGGCAATAAAGGTTCGTCGAAGGTGAATGGAATCCTTGTGGCGCCAATTCCACGGTTTGATCTAAGCCGCCATATTGATTGGATTGCCCTATTACAACCAAACAAATGAATAATTGTGACGTATTTCCGCCATAAAATTTTCACATTTTTATACCTATTCAGATTTTTTTTTTTAAATTCAAAGCAACATCAATTTTTCACGCAATGGATTTCAACTATTATAAAGTCTAATAAAGTTTTCCGAAAAATGGAAACAGTTTATTTCCGCAGGAAAATTTTTGTGTTTGTATATTCAGAAAAATGTTAAAAATGCAAAGCAAACAATTTTTTCAATGTAACTGATTTCAGCTATTCTAAAATCCGGAAAATGTAAATGACGCATTTCCGCAGAAAAATTTATGTTTCTGATATAAGGAAGACTTCCTGAAAACAACTCTAGCAACATCTCTTGTATATCTGATTTCAGCTAAACCAAACTTGAGCCATCTCCTTTCATAACGAAGTCGCGCTCAGAACTTGGCTTGGCGACTACTTTACTTCAAAACCACCAGTTTTCTTCAAGGAATAGAAAAACTACCTCTCTTTGGGCCATATCCTAAGGCACTGTTTATTATTAGGTTTGTTCTAAAAATTTGAAATTGACGATCGCTTGTCATCTACAAACATTGGTTTGGGAAGCTGTAAATGACCACGTCATTCCATTTATCCTCATTTTTTCCATTTTGATTTTGTTATCCAAAAAAAAAAAAAAAAAACTTGAAAGCGGGAAGTGGAAAAAACCAGAAACCTAAAAATTAAAGACAAGCTCTTTGGAACTTTGTGGATCGTCTTTCAATTATTTGATGCCATCAGAAACCAACTAAACTAACTAAGTTATATAGGCATTTACTCACAGGTAGTTATACTTTATACATGGAAAATCATCATTGTTTTGTTTTTTTTTTTGCTTGTAGTATAAATAAATAAAATTATAATTGAACAAATAAAAATACTCCCTCGGAGTAACAGTTAGCAAATAGCTACCCACGTAACATTGAAATTGTAGACCGCTATGAAAAACTTTATAAACAATCAGGCTTTTGCTTTGAAGATAACAACTTTTCAATTCGAGAGGAAAGTTTTCTAATTTTAGATTATTTGAGAACATGGGGTAGTAGGTACCTTTTGTTAGCAAGTAGGTATATTAATTAGCACATAAACCTGTAAAGATTAAAAAACTTTTGTATGTTTTTTTTTTGAAAAATTGTTATTCAAGCCTAGATACCTATTCTTAAATTTGAATGAAAAATTGGATCAAAAATTAGAAATGTAATTTTTAAGCAAATAAAAATGTGCCGAATACAATTAGTACAGGATCTATCCATCGTTTTATATGGGTAACGTTCAACAAATTAGAGACAAGCTGAAATTTGGTGAGAGACTTTGTTTAAAGGTAGTAAATACCCTATGAAACCCCAGCGCCGAGGCGTTGAGCCCGTGATCCCAAAAGTCCGGTGAAATCTACCTTTTCTTACTTTTTTCTCAATGACCGCAATTTTAGGAAAAAATGTCAGGAGAAAAAAATTTTAGAGAAGAAAATTTCCTACCAAATAAGTAGGTAAACATCAATTTCAGATGTTTAGTGGCGTAGATATCAAGCATTCATTATTGTAACCACAGCAGTCGCAATGAGTGCGCTACAAAGGAAATGTACTCTATATCTCTAATGAAAATGAGAAAGGTCTCTTTCTAACATATTGTTTTTTATGACAAAATCCAAAATAATTTTTTTTCTCGAAAACTGATAGAGATAAACCTGATTAAAATAAGCAGCTTTCCAATAAGCTATTGATATATAGGGTGTCTCTTTGAAAAAATCGAACTTTCATCAATATCTCGAAATCGGGGCCAAATAGAAAAAAACTGAGACGTCACTGAATTCTGCGTAAAAAAGTGCGTCCAAGTTTTTACGGAAATCAATTATTTTCTTAAACAGAAAAGATTTAAAGGTTTCACAGTATTGCTCAAAATCGAGAATCCCCTCTAAAAGGTTGAAGATATCAAAATGCGGTTTGCACCAATTAAGATTACATGAAATTTGAGCCTCAAAGTGGGTGGTACATTTTTTTGTGACTCGCTCAGAAATTGATATTTCCTCTTAAAGGCGTCCCAATTCGGACACCTTGTAGGTACATGCAAGCGAATGGGCCTTAGCTGCTCTATGGCAAGAGGCCAATGCAATGGCATTCGGTATTACTTGTATGAACCTAACAAATGTGAACGTAGAAGAAGACTCTTCAGATACATTCCCTATATTTTTTTCGTATTTGCATAATAAACGTTCTGGCTTATTTTTTCTTACAATAATTATGTATTTAATTCAACAGATTACCCCCAAATCTACAATATCACTTTATGGTATTCTTATACATTATAATAAAAAGTGCCTCTTTTATGGAAAATTCTATGCAAATTTTTTCGTGACGGCATTTGCCCTAAAATGCATGAGTTATAAATAAATAAGTGGGTTTTTGGAAAAATCCTATCAATCAAATACCTGATATATACGCCACTGAACATGTGAGAAAAATTTATTTATGCGTATTTGGTATGAAATTTTCTTCTCTTCAATTTTTTTCTTTTGAAATTTTTTCCTAAAATGCTTAGTTTTAGAGTTATTAAGTAAACTGTAAGGAAAGGTAGATTTCACCCGTTCTAAGGGGTGGTTTTGGGGTGGATGGGCTCTACTAGAGCCCAGCCCTACGCCTCGGCGCTGGGTTTTCAGAGGGTATTAAGTACCTACCCTAAAATAAACAATCTTGCCAAATTTCAGCTCGTTTATAATTTGTTGAACATCAACCTGTATGGTCCCTGTACTCCTGTACTAAATAGAAATGAAAATATTCAAGGTAAGTGGGAAAATATAATATAGATGGTATTTTTTTCCCGTAGTTTTTTAATTATTCCTTTCGAGAATATTGATGCTTTTATTAACGTCGCGTTCATATTTATTTATACAGTGAAGAATCACCACATTTCCTCTCCATAAAAATAGAGGAAAAATACTCTCTTTCGCAATTTTTTAGACATGAAAACTCAAAATAGTTTGCAAATCTTCGACAGGACTCCCTCTATCTGTTCATTCACTTGATGAAACATATTAATAATCAACTATCCTAAAATACACAAAATATTTTAAATAGAATAAAAAGAACAAAAATAGTTAATAAATATAAAATAAAAATACTTTGTGAATGTATCATCTTGGAAATAAATTAATTTAATTAATTAATCCCGGAGCTACATTTTATATCAATGACTCTTAAAAATTGTGGTAAATTTTTGAGTCAACCGGTATCGTTCACATATCTTACACAAGTGAAACCTGACCAAATAATGTCTTGTGTAATTAAACAATAATACAGTTATGTTTGTTCCGTCCGGCTTTTCGTCGTTAAGCAAATATTTTACTTTTGATTTCACTGGGTCACTTTTTTAAATAATGGATGGGTAGGTGTCAACTTTACATACAATGCTTTGACACCTCCCTGAACCTAAAATGGGGGATCTCTGGTGTATAAATAATTACTGAATCCAAATTCGATGTCAAGTAGTCTTTTGGTGATATCTAACGCCATACCTAACCATCGAAATAATATTCACGTTAATGTGCAATATAAAAATGAATTCTATTAGGTGTTTCATTGTTATCGTGGCCCTTGGAACCGTCGTATCTGGGGTTAGTGATTTTCGGTCATAGTTTAGTAGAAGTTAATTAATATGATGTTATTGTTTTAGGTGCCATTTGCGAGTAGTGTGGAAAGCAACGAAATAAATACGGTAATTTTCGAAACAAAAATTGTGTTCTTTAATATCTAGAAATAATTGTCTTTGTAGGATTCGGACTTTGTCAGTGGTCTTAACAAATGTGCTTTTCAACCAAACTCGGACGGAATAGCCACTTGCGCAACGGAAAGAATTGTTAGATCCCTAGATTTGCTTGCAAACCAAGCCAATATCAACATTTGGCCAGGGATTTCCCTTTTAAGTGATGGTCCTGCTCCAAGCTTCCGCTCAGGAAAACAATTAAAAGAAGAAATTGAAGAAACGAAATCCAACGATGGTTCCATGCTTGAATTAATCGGTAACGCTACAGCCCGATTCTTTTCTGGTAGAACTTTGAAAGTTAAATTGCCCAACAGTGAAGAAATAGGCAGGGCCCTTGAAGAGGGTAGAAAAAGAATGGGCGGTAACAAAAACAAAGGTGGTTTGAACATGGGAATGATGGGCATTGGTGCAGCTGTAGCTGGATTAGTTCCACTTTTCTTGGCAAAAATTGCTTTGATTACTGCTAAGGCTTTAATTGTTGGAAAAATCGCTTTGGTTCTTGCCGGTATTTTACTTGTACAAATGTTGATGAAAAACAACAACAATCATGTAAGCAATACTTAGTTTCTTATATTTAATGCAAAATGATAATTGTGAAATTATTTTTAGCATGTGGACAACAGCTGGAGCTCTGCACAGCCAGTTTACGGTCCACCAGCAAACACTTATAACCCTCCTTCTAACTCATATGGAGTACCGTCAGCTCAATATCCTTACTCGAGATCGTTCACTGTTGAAGAAGAAAAACCCAAATATAGCCAAGAATTGGCTTACTCAGCACAAATGAGATAAGATAATAATTAATTTGGTAGTTAAATCGTGTTTGTGTATATTTATTTAATTTATTTTTTTTTAATAGACTTTATAGATTTTTTATAATTTTCAAATTATTTCTGACCTTACACCACCCTGGCACATCTACGCCAATAAACTAATCCACATTATTAGTTTAAACAAGCAACTCAAGAATCTAATGCCATGTACCAGTCTTTAGTTAAAGTAAAGTTGATATCCACAAATATAGACACGTATCAGTTTGTCGAAAAATTATCCCTTATTCCATCCGAGAGACAGTGTCAATTCAGATTCAAACTTGGACGTATACCATTTCGTTTGAGGATGAGAATATAGGTGGAGTAATACATTATTCTTTTGTTTGAAAGTGGTAGGTAACGTGGAATTATCTGAAGACATGATTTTGGACTTATATTATCTCTATTTTCAAAAATTTCGTCCTTTGGAGACTATCAACTTTCTGCGATGTTTTGCGGATATAAATAAAGGTTCTCTATAACCATTCACCGATGTCCCAGAAATTGACAATAAGTCCTAAGTAAAGTTACTTAAGCATTAGATATTCTCGAAAACATATCTGCTGCCAATCAATATATCAGGTTGAACAATGACAGCATTGACAGCTACTTATAGCAGCAAAGTACCTACTAGGCAAAAAATGTAGTGCTAAAATGAAAGAAAGTATCAATATTTTATACCACCCAAATTCATATTGAAATGCGTTTTTTGTTTGCAACAGGAATAGAAAGCATTCAAAAATTACCCAAATTATCGACACCCAAACATTGATTGCAATAATTGCAGTCTCTCAATCTGTCCCTTTTCTGGCACCAAAACTTTAAAAAAAAATCCGTGTGCTAACATCAAGTTCACTGCAATAATTTTATTAGCGAAACCATTGTAGCGAAACGTACAAAGGCATCTAGCGTTCTTTTACAGCACAACTTGTCTAGGCGACCGAACTAGAATTACCAAATATGGTATAAAGAGCAGAAACGTGCTATGTATATTATTTTCCATTGTTTCAATTATTTCACTCGTTGAATGATAGAGGGCGATTGTAGTAGGATTTATTTAATCCCACACTGATAAATATAATTTGTTAATATTAAGAAAATATAATGTAGGTAAATACACTTATCTACAGGGTGTCCAGAAAGTCAACATAATATGACCTCAGTGAAAAATCGATGGTTTCCGAGATATGGCCACTTCAATGAAATTTGTTGGATCACCTGGCTAATGATTTTTTCGAAAACTACTCATTATTCTAATAAAAAGTTTATTATTGTAATGACTTACAGTGAAGGATAAACCTAATCTACCTTATTAGATCATTCTAAAAAATTAAACAAATTAAATCATGTTCAAACAAGAGTATTTATTTAAAGTGCCAAAAATAAAGAAATCAAATAACATGTTCGAAGTGCCTACCACCAACGCGAATGCAGGCGCGGCATATTTTTAAAAATAACCTCTTCATCCATCTTGAATCCAAAATCCAAGACTAATAATAACTTTTAGGTGAAAATCTGATCCAAAAGGACGATTTAACGAATTTTATTTAAGTGGTATAATATCTCGAAAACCGTCGATTTTTTACTAAGGTCATATTATGTTTTTCTAGATGCTTATGAGTTGTTCCACCAGCACTTTCAGTATTATCGTTGACTTTCCGGAAACCCTGATGTATAATTAATTTAAAACAATATAGGTAATCACATAAAAATGATCTCTTCATACAGGGTGCCAGTTTGACATAAGTGTAGCCTTAGGCTGCTCTGCTACCAAACAAAGACATAACATAGAAAAATATATATTGTGTTCATGTCCCCATATTATTTTCAACAATACAGTTTACATTTTATTCGTATTTACTCTAATCAAAGAGAATTCTTTGATGTGGTTCATTTAGACAACACAATACTGTGGTATAATTATTCAACATTTTTGATTGAGCTATTGAAATTTCACAAGATAAGATTCAATTGCACTTTTTTATACTTAATTGTCCTTTGATTTTGCAAGAAGTTTCCATTGATTAAAATTCTCTCTGTTTCCTTTTCGTTAGAAGCACAGAGAAAAGGAAAAAAAAGGCCGAAGACCATAAAGCGATCATCAACCATAGGCGGCCATAAGACCCAGGTAACAATAGGTTGGGTCATTACCCACATACCAGTAAAAGAACATTCATATTCTCAGAATATTCCCTCAAAGTGCTTTTTGGAATGTTCTTTTGGGAATGTTTAATGAATATTCTAAGATTGTTTCGATTGAAATATTCATTTTTGAACGTTCTATTTATGTACTAGGAATGTTGCTTCTATGCACCTACCTGAAAGATTGTGCTAAGAACCTACTTTATATAACATTATTTGAATATTCTCATACGAACATTATTATAATGTACCCTAAAAAATATTCTTTCGGCTAATATCTCTATCAAGTATTAAGAATATACCTACCAAGTTGTGCTGAGAAGTTTATGTAGGTAGGTACCCATGATAAGAATATTCCCATATTGTTCACCTAATTATCTAAAGTACCTACCTACTCAAAAAATTAATTGAACAATTAAACAATAATGCTCTATCTAGAACCTACTAAGAATATTATAGGTATATTCTTTTTCTTTTGCTTTGTAGGACTTCCAAGAGAGGGAGCCACGCGCCATTAAAGATCTACATCTGGCCTCGCGTTTGAATCACCTTGGAACCTGTTTCTCTCAGTTGGCGTGCTTCGACGAGAGCATAACAAGCTCGAAACCGGAGCTTTGGTTAAACACTTGTATTTTCCAGAGAAATTTTCCAACAATTCTTTCACTGCCTTTAATATAAAAGGACTGGAAGGAGCATTATTTGGAAAAGAAAATTAACATTCCTAGTATATCCTTAGAATCAAACAAGAATGTTATTTCTAGGATGCATATTGAGAATGATATATGTAGATATATTCTAAGAATATTTCAAGCATATTCGTATAATATTCTTTTGAGAACATAACTATATGTCATAGAAACATTCTTTGAATATGAGAATGTATATTTCGAGCATATTTTTAGAATCAAACAGGAATATTCTTTTCAGGATGTACTGAGAATCTCATAGGTATATTCTAGGAATATCCTAATGGATTTCCCAGGAAGTTCTTGGGTATTGCAAACAGTATTTCTACAATCTTTTCTCAGAACATTCTCAGGACATTCGCAATGGTTTTGGCGAACATTCTAGGCACATTCCTCCTAAAAAAAGAACATTCTTAATACATTCTAAGGATGCAATTTTGTTATGTGGGTATATGATAGCAATTCAGTATGAATTTTGCACCTATAAGCGGTGTATGTATATTGTATATTTATTGAAAAAATGTTTTAATCCGGTAAAATGTAAGGTCGTTCTTCATTCCAAAGACAGGATTATAGTATCGATTGTAATGATGCACTTGTGCATCAGATGCGTTCAAGTACTATCCAACGTAGTCTCCATATGTGCCAATTTGACAGGAATCACATGTCGAACCAATGTAACAGTAATCTATACTTAGACTTGCTGGCGAAATTCTTCTCGATTTTTTTTTTTTTTGTCAACCAATTGAGAAGATAATAAGTTTATTTTTCATTGTTTGTCATCTCCGGAATTTCAATGTAAATACGAAGTTTGTTTTTGACAAGAAAAAATTGACCAGCAGCTCCTTTTAGAACGCGTTTTTTATACATACATGAGTAGTTTTATCATTTATAATAGAGCATAGTAAAAATAATTAAAAACTGGCATAGAGGAAAAGTTTTAATGCATAGTTGGTTTTATTTTGAAAAAGATAAAAAACTCTTGGTGTCAAAGTTGGGTGATTTCACTGATTGCATTGAGTTATCTTTCTGAAAATAAATCTTTGTTTCTGATTCTAATACTTTAGCAAAAACTGCACAGCTTTTGTATTTACATACCTATCATCTACCTATAAAGGTAAAGGCTCGTGATGATGTGATTTTTTGGAAGCCTTTGAAGAACAAGCAAAGGATAAAAACATGGCATTCACATGTTTCTACGATCGTGTGAGTTGAAAAAACAGTTTTAAGATCATTCTGTCACTTTCTATTCCAAAGTAAATTTTCGTATTGTTCTTTCGTATAATGACTATAACAGTTCCTCTATCAGATCTAGTTATGTAGGTACCTATATGTTTCTATAGTTTGTTATTTTTTTTTTTTGTTTTATTATATAGTTTGTTTAATATATGATCTTCATCATTTTTCGAGTGTATAAAATTTGTAATGATATTGATTAATTTTGCTCGAAAAATATTTTTCTTATTAGTATTAAAATTATTTAACATTTTTTCTAAATCAGCTAATAAGTTTGGTATTGAAATGTCATTGATATTTGGTGGTACACGGTACACAAAATTTAAATCCCAATGCTAGTTTTTTTTTTTTTATATCTTCAGGTAATGAATTAACCAGAGGCCCATAATATGCTCGGTTTGCTCAGCGAAAAAATATGTGGGTTGATAGTTTAATCAGTACAGAATGGCAAGGGCGCTACTGAATTTAAAAAAAAAAATATAAAATTGCATAAAACATATTATGGAAGTGTGAAAATTCAGAAACACACCTAAAAAATATTAAGCAAACGGTAATAGGTAATTCTGAAAAACAAATAAATAATGCAAAGTAAAATTTCAAATTAAAATAGTATATATTTCACAGTCAGTAAAAAATTCAGTATTGAATTATTCCAAAATATAAAATCAAATATTGTTAGTAAGACACCTTGGAACAAATCAAAATGAAAGAGGTTAACTTTTAATCAGATTAGTCAAGCTCAAAAAAAATAATAATAATAGCATAATAACAAAGTGCACCTCAATATACTTGCCTTATAAGTTCATTAACACTCGCTAACCATATCATCAATTTGAAAAAGATTTAAGTTTCCAGAAAACTAAGTTATAAAAAAAATTGAATGATTGAAAAATTCTGTTAATAAATATGGGCAGTTTCTGCAAAAAAAAAAATTAAAAAAAAAATATCAATTTGTATCTGTAAAAAAAAAATCAAAAGTTGGGCTATAACAGTCAAAT